GGGACTAAATGCCAGCGGAAGAAGTCCCAAGTCCCCCAATTTTCTCACACCTCCTTTCCTCAAAGATTTTTCTCTTTTGCTTCCTGGCTTTAACAGTTTAAATTCTTGAAACTCCTGAGTATCTTTCATTCTCTCCCCTTAGGGAACAGAGAGTTGAGGAGTCACCCATATTTGTGTTCACAGGACACAGATGTCTTAGTTGACTCATGCAGATTTAGTGCTCAATTCCAGAAGCATAACAAATTAAAGCTCACCAAGAAGAGAATGCTAACGACTCGGAATCCACATGTGCTCTTTTCTCAGAGGGAACAATTTGATGGAACTAATTATTAGCAGGAAGACAGGCATGAGATTAAAGGCATGTAGTCTCCCATTTTTGATGCACATAGAACAAAGATACCAGGCAATGAAACACTTGATTGGCCCATTAGATTGCACTGTGCCTGGTTTATCACATTTCAACTCCTTTTCCATTCTCATCCAGTCCAACATCAGGCACAGAGAAGCCCAGAGAGGAGTGATCAGTCCCAAAAACTCTTGGCTTAAGCCCAAAACTCTGGCTCCAGGTTCAGAGCTAGAAAGCGATGGTTCCTATCCCACTCCCCCACCTTCAGCACAGCTCTTCCTTAGGTCTCTGGGAGACAAAGGGTCAGGAGACAGGGTAAATCTCCAGGCTGATCCTTGTTTCAATGAAAGAAATCTGTCAACTTATGTCTCATTTGGGAATTATAAGATGAAGAGAGTATATTTTCCCAGTGTCCTCCACTCCCTCAAACTCCTCATGTTTAACCCTAACCCCAAGTGATGGCATTGGAGGGAAGAGCTTTGGGAGGCAATTAAAGTTACATCAGGTCATGAGAAGGGGCCTCCATGACGGATTAGTGTCCTTCTTCGAAGAGAAAGAGGGACCAGAACTCTCTCTTTCCATCAGTGAGAAGGTGGCTATATACAAACCAGAAGAGAGCTTTAACTAGGAACCCAGCTGGCTGGCACCCTGTTCATGAATTTTTAGCCCACAGAACTATAAAAAATAAATGCCTGTTCAAGTCACCTGTATCTGGTATTTTGTTAGAGCAACCCGAGCTAAGATGCACAGATTTTCTTTTCCATTTATGTATTTATTTTTTAAAGATGTATAGATTTTCTTCACTGAACACTATCTTTACACTGAACACTATCTTTAGATAGTCCAGAATTAGATGAAACTCAGAGCCTTTCTCCAAATGGCACAGGTAAGTATGGCCAATATCTAGTAAGTGGGCTGTGACCCCAAAATGGGAGGGTGCAAGGGGGTAGTCCATTTTGGGAATGGTTCTTATTTTTGTGGAATGCAAGTGGCCGAGGAGAAGGGAAGCTAACAAGGGCGAACAGATAAGAAAAAAGTTTTATGAGTCTGGGTTACAGTATCAACCCAGAAACAGTAAACAACCTTCCCTCGGACTCAGTTTTAAATCTAAATAACCTGGGGCCTCCCCTGGTGGCGCAGCGGTTGAGCACTGAGCTGCGAAGCTGCCTGCAGCCTCGGCAGCGCCAGTTCGATCCCCGGCCACGGGCAAGGGTCCCACATGGCACGCAGACCTCTCCTGCCGCACCTGCTCCTCCCCTCAGCAGTGTGTTTTGTCAGTCTGCCTGCTCTGCTCCCCGCTCTGTCTCTGGTGAATTCTCTCACCCTCCCGCGCTTCTGACTGTACCCAGTGCTCATATAAAGAAAGAAATCTTTTTAAAAAAAATAAATAAATAAATCTAAACATCCTGGATGGAGAAGACACTATTTGGGTTTCCTAGGTTAACACAAAGCCCATCCTCTCCATAGGGGGCCCAAGATGGTGCTAGTGGAATGTGGCCGGATGTACTGGCCAAAAATACAAAAGAAGCGAGCCCTCTTCAGTAGTGAGCAGGATCCAAACAACCAGATGTACTCAGTGAACTTGGCCTGGAGGCTGGGCCATGCTTAGCCTAAATGATTCTCTCTAGAAGCAAAACACTTAAACTAGCACATTCCTGACAGACTTCAGGATAAGTTGATGATGGTTGCCAGGGAGGTAAATAAAAGACAATTTTGAATTAGGCTCTGATTTACTTTTACTTTGAGCTCAAGTGTCCCACATGCAATTCCTTCTTGTCCAAAGATAGAAATCGGTTCCAATGACTTTTTCACTTAATTTGGCTGTGGCCATATACGGTGCGAGGGCTGCATTACGTCAGGCACCAGGCTTCCTGGGACTCTGACCCAGAGAGAGCATGCTTCCCCAGAGTGTTGATAAAGCTCTCAGAGCCAAAGGCCTTCCTGTCCTTGGGGCTTCTTCAGCCCTCTGGGAGGAGCAAGCAGCATGGTCCTGTTCCATGGAAGGAGCTACTTTTCGTTTTATTGTAAACATTACAAGACCACGTGGGCAGCTTGTCTTCCTCCCCAGTGGGCCAGAAGTGAGATTCCATTTCTCTTTTTAGAAAAGAGACAGTGAAAAAATAAGGCTGTTTGAACAATCTGACCTATTCGAAAGATGGCTAATCCCCACTTCCCCTAGGGCCACATGCTGGTGGTGTGAGAGAGGGAAGCCCTGGTTCCCTGCCAATGGGGGGATGAGAGCAGGGCAGGAGGTCCAGGCTGGCAGGAGGGGTGGCAGCCTATGGGAAAGCAGGAGATAGAGTTCCCCTCAGGCCCTTGAGTTTCCCAGACCCCAACTCAGTGTGTATGGAGATGCACGGCTGCAGGGATCTGAGAGCCTTCTGTCTCTGAATCCAAGTCTTGTTGTCACCAGCCCAGCCCATCTGGGCTTGCCTACTCCCAAGGAACGTACAGCTCTGGCATGACTATAGGTAAGAGGTGATTATGGGTTCCTATGAGCTGGCCACTCATGGGCAACTGCGACCTATTGGCTGTCCGCAAATCACAGCTGAGCATACCTTGACTACCTATGGAGTATAGTCCGTATCCTGAGGCAGGCCCGGGGATGCCTAGGCCACTGTTGACCTGATTACGTGACTGTCTATCTCCATGGTAGTCTCGGGATGACTCTGCCTGTGATAACATCAAATACTTTGCTGACACAAATGGCTCTTGACATACGGTCACACTGTCCCCTTCCCAGTCCCTCATAAAACTTTGTCCCCCACTCCTGTCCCATCCTCTGGACCTGATTCCTCATACCATTGTTGAATGATCAGCTTTTACTGGCCTGTGTGCTTTCAATAAATGGCACGACAACTTCTGCTCAAGCAGAGTCTTGCCTTGCAAACCAGCTCCATGGTTTGCAAAATGGCAACAAAGCTCCTGTCGCAACAGGTTATCTTTGCATTCAGATAATAAATCCAGGAGATAATATGTGACCTAAAGTTTCTTGAAATTTGGATGGCTAATTTTATAATAAAATTACAGAGAAGCCCTCTATCTCAGCAACTTCTCAGATTCCCTTTTTTACTGATATTTTAGTAAAAAGAAAATTTATAGACAATGATAGCCAAGAAAACACGCGATCCATGGAGAGGCTCACCTTATAGGGCTTATACTCTTATGAACTCCTTGAGGGTAATGTTTGACACACTGATCTGAACACAATAAGAACTCAATGACACACTGACCTGAACACAACAAGAGCTCATGACTATATTTAAAGGAAATTTTTATTCACTCACACAGTTTTTGAGTTATCTTTTGAAGAGCTGTTTAAAAAGCCAAAAGGAATCCTTGGGCCTAGTCACTGACGATGGAAGAGGCTATACTACTACGCTGGCCCTAATAAACAGCACTCTTTCCCAACCTAGAGAGCTGAGCAGATCCTAGTCTTAGGATACCTGAGAAGGAAGCATGCCCGCACAGGCAACATACTCATTCCCTGGGAAAGGCCTCCGAAATGGGAAAACTATGGCAGGTCATTTAGAGGACACTGACCTCTGAGTCCCCCTGTCCGATGGGGACTTCAGGAGGCCAGGCACACGCACAGGTGAGCCAAGGTGTGCCTTGGTGGGGGGCAGAAAGGGTAGGTAGTGCTGCTCAGCACACATGGCACTAGAGGGACCGCCTCTGAGGCTGGGCAAGTGGGTCTACAGAGAGACAGAAAACACCATCTCTGACTCGGTTTCACTTCAGGGCCCAGTGCGGTGTTCTGTCCTCAGAAACCAGCCAGAGGATGCAGGGAGAGGTGGGGGTGAGACCAGGAAGGACATGCTGGAATTCCCAGCATCTTGTGAATTCTGGGAGCACCTTCCTGGAAGGCAGGCACAGGGAAGGGCCACACAGAAGGAACACATCTCTGCCCCAAGTTTTGAGCAGCAAAGTTTCCTTTAAGAGAAAGGACAGCTCCACTCCATGGATGTAAAAACACTCCTTACAGGTTGCTTCAATGAAAACAGGATCTATTTCGCTCATCAAAATGACAAAGTGGAGGGGAAGGAGAAAAGATAGAGAAAAGATCGAGAAAACCACTGAGGGAGAAAGAATTAAGCAAAATTATCACTGCAAGATATGCAACCTTAGGGGATTTGCTTTTGTAGAGAAGAGTGAGGCAATTTAAACTCCAGCCATTCTGACTTCTAGCTGCCTGCTCCTGGGTTGCTGGGTTGGGGTCTGGCCACAGCTGCTTGCTAGAGCTGCTGGAACTCTTATCACCCAACACCAGCAAACAAATGGAATAAACACAGAGTGCACCCTTCATTTGAATATTACACTCTAAAGAACTTTTAATAAACAGGCTCAAACCTTTTCCCCACTTATTCAGGGTCAAATGGATTCCCTGTTTCAGAATATTTCCACATACATTTCACACCTAGAAGACACTGAGCCTGTCTGATACCCTGGTGCAGACCATCCTTGTCCCATGCGTTGCTAGCCTCAACCCCAACTGCTCCCTAACTCTGGTTCTTGCAGAACTTTCCCAGAGTTGGCCCAAAGTATAATTTAGCACCTAGTTGGTTGCTTTGTCCAGCTAGACAAATCAAAACTAAAAGACTCAAGAGCCGGTGCCACTGGCCAATCCCCACCCAGCCCTTGGGGACATGCCTACCTGGGGCTTGTCGGAAGGAAGGTTGGGATGCACACTTCTGTAGCCCTTGGCAGCGAGTGAAGAGGGCTGGGCGTTCCCATTGGCATCAGCATTGGAAGAAAGCCTCCACTCATCTGAGAGGTAAAAAAAATAAAAGAGAAACTCTTCACTCACCGGGCATGCCCCCTAGATACCCTCTGATTTAAGGATCCCTGGCGGAAGGCGGGGGCAGAAAGAATGCAAGAGAAACCATACCTGCTGCGGAACTCTCTGACTCCAGAACTGGGTGTGGCACAGAAAGGGTGAAAACAAGAAGCGGGAAAACAGAAATGGTTACATTTGCAGGAACCCAGCAGGACTGCATAGAAAGGCAAAAATCCAGCACCCTGTGGCCGGACACAAAACACCCTCAGTCACCATGGCCTAATTACCATAGGAACCCACTCTAACCCATGATGTGTTCACAGGCGCTGACCTTTGGAAACACAAGGCTCACATTCACAGCAATGAAGAAACAATTGTTCCGCAACATTCTTATTTTACAGACAAAAAGGCAACAGACCTCTCTACTGGCCAGTCCCTACTCACTAATGCTCCTTCCCTTCCTCAGCCTGGCATGGGCTCAGAGGGATGTCTCCTCATTAGCAGCTGGGGTAATTAACAGGCCTGGGAGAGCTGAGTGGTAGATATGCACCTTTTCCGTGGCTTTTGGTGCTGGGTTGGGGCGAGGACATGATTTAAGCCCAGAAGTATCTGCTGTGATAAAGACTTTTTTCCTTCCTGCCTACTTCTTTTTTTCCATTAAACAAGCCACATAAACATTTCAAAATCTAATCACCCTCCCCTCCCCTCGTTTTCATCACACCATGCGGAAGCCTTGTCTCCTTCCAGTCAACTACTACCCTGCTGTCCTAGCCACAGCCTGCTGCATCTTAGAGCCCCTAAGCCTCTCCCAGTGGGCCTCACCCAGCAGCAAGAGGCCCTGCATCCCAGTGCTTACAGCTCAGCAGGAAGGAAGCTAGCCCTTAACAGAAATCTTGGATCTACTGCCTATGGGCTCTGTGACCCTGGGCAAGTTACAAGTCTCAGTTTCTCTATCTGAAAAATGGGAATAATGTGAGGCCTGCCTCCTAAGTGCTTTTCAAAGAATTAAATAATACAATGCATGAGAAATGCTTGGCACAGTGGTTGGCAGAGCTGAAAAAGTATCTTCTTCTGCATCGTCTCTTGAATCTAGACTCTATTCTCCACCTAGCCCAGGTGTCAGCAAACTTCTTAAAAGGATAGATGGTAAATATTTCAGGTTTTGCAGGTCATTTGTTTTCAGTAGCAACTACTCAACTCTGCTACTGTAGCACAAAAGCAGTCATGGATAATAGATGAATGAATGAGTGTTGCAGCATTCGAAAAGCCTTTATTTATGGACACTGAAATTTGAATTTCATATAATTTTTACATGGTGTACAATATTCTTTTTGAAATTTTTTTTCAATGATTTAAAAATCTAAAATCCATTCTTAGCTCATGGCTGCATGAAAGCAGGGGTGCATCAGATCTGACCCCTGGACCATAGTTTGCCAACCACAATCTAGCCGATCCCTTAACTTCCTCCTCCTCCCCAGCCTCCTGCTGTGCCTCACCCTATGTATGGCAGGGTAAGGGATGAATATTGAAGCTCTCATAGCCCAAGCCTCCATCTCACTGTAGTGTCCTCAGGGATTATAGGTGAGCTTTCCAGACATCAAATGGAGATTGACAAACATTTATTGAATACCTTTCTAAGTACCAGACATTATTAGTCACTTTTACCCCTATTTAATATTTAATTTAGTGTCCACAACAAGTCTCTGAGGTAACTAATCTACCTCATGGATGAGGAAACAGAGAAATTGGCCTGCCCAGAAAATGACAAAGCAGTCAGCCTAGGCCCAGACCTCCAGAACCAAGTGCAGAGCCCTCCACCATCACCCCTGCATTGTGGAAAGGTGGGGGGGTGGGAGCCAAAAGGTGTTCAATATTGGTGCAAAAAATGGCAAGGTTGGGGTAAAGGTTTTGAGTAATTTGCACCCATGTGCAGCAACGGTTAGCTGCATCTAAATTACAGAGTGTGCGTTAAAACACTGATTGGTGGACCAGTTTCTGAATCAGCCGAGAGGAAGACAGAGAACTTGCATTTCCACTGTGTGATGCTAAGGCTACAGTCCACACTTTGAAAACCACTGCAATAAGGAATACTTAACAACAACCTTACACTGTTTCCATCCTTATGGAAAATTGTGCCCATTTTTGCTTAATTTTTCCCCCAAGACAGAATTTTTCTAACATGTTTTGGTTGCACATTCTTTCAGCAGGTGTCTATTACATTTTGGACACTCATCGTGGACAATTCATAGGTGCTTATCTTCCAAAGGCACAGTTGGAAAGTTTACAAAACTTGAATTTTACTATTACTGCAATGTTCTGATTGTGTGGCTGAGAGTAAATCTGTTAATCATCTTAAACGTCACTTTTCTCATCTATGAAATATAATCCTTACCCCCTGTGCACCTCATAGGGTTGCTGAAGAGCCTGAGTATGTATGTAAAAGTATCTGAAAAGTGACTATTTTTGACATGCACTGGTGCATCCATCCAGATCCCTGGCCCAGAGATGTCCTCCTACCTAACAGGCCCTTAAACCAGGTGACACATGTGACAGTGGCCCTCCCTCCTCGCCTGCAGCTATTACTTTCACTGTCCCATTAGCCTTCCCAAGTTGCTATTTCTAGTCTACCTTTGTCAGTCAAGTCATTCTACCAAATATATTAGATTTTCACATACAGTACTATCAATAAGTTCTGAGTGAGGGGGTTTTCATTAAAGGATTTGAACTTTGTACATGGATTTGGAGGTACAGTATTTCTCCCCATCTTTGGTTCTCATTTGCATTGATTCTATTCAGGTGACATTGACAAACAGATGTGTCCCTCCAAATCTCTAGGTACCATAAAGGGACTCTCATTTTGGCATCAGACTATCATGCTAATTGCACATCATGCATCAAATGACAGCCTCATCTGTGAAATGGGATAATATCTACCTCTTTTGAGTCAAGAGGGCTAAATGGCAACATCTAAGTATGTGCTAAGTAAAATCAGTATCAAATGCATAAGGGGAAAAAAATGTCCCCCGACATAGAAATTAATTAGAGTAGCAGACTTCTGCCATAAGATCTTGGGGGATCAAGTCACTTTTCCTTTTCATTTTAAGTCTTTGTAACTGTTCCCTTATCCTTTCTCCCAAAGGGCAGTTCCTAGAAACTCTCTAAGAATTCCTCTCTTCCGTATTAAAGGAGAGCTGTATTTTTGATGTTTTATCATCCTTCATTTGTTACCTAGTATTCTGAACCTTGAAGGTTGGTAACAGCCCAGGGCCATTTGCCATGCCTGAGGTGTAATTTTATATAGATAATCATCAATTATTACCTCTTGGCTGAGAAGATTGTGAAATACTCCTTTCAATACATATTACCTTAGATCTCCTGGGGTGGGAGTTGGGGGGAGGCCTTAAAAAGCTGGATCCTAGATAGGTTTTGCAGTGCTGAAGAAATCCAGTCTTTCAATAAGAAATATAATTTGTATTGCCTTATTTTTATCTATTCTTTATATACAATCTTTCTTGGTGGCCAGTCTCCTGATATGTTCTTTAATGTCATTCTGGTTAATTACATGTTGGTCTGTTCTAAAGTTGCTTTGCTGACCAGTTCTTCTTGAGTTAAATTTCATTGAGTCACAACTGATATGTTTTGTAGACTATCCAAGGGTTAGATGAATAGTCACTCTAAAGATTTGGTTGTTCCAAATTTTTTTGTTTCTTTTCTATTCATGTTGTATGGTAAAGAATTTAATTGGCTTTTACCCTCTGGCTTCTGGGAATTAATTTCTAAGCTCCTGGAATGCCCTTTGAGAGGAACATCTTTTTGCCATATCTAGGGTGGGGGCTTGGAGCTAGCAAGAGCTCAACCTCCTGATGGACTGAGAGTGAGATGAGATACTTGGACAGTAGACAATACCTATTAGTAAAATCCCAACAAAAGCTCTGGACACATGAGCTTGGGTGAACTTACTCATTGGTAATATTTTGAGCACATCATCAGGACTCAGTGCTGTGAACAAATGAAGCCTGACTCCAAGAAAGAGGCCACAGGTTCTTTCCCACACTCTTTCTCTTGACTGATTTTAACCTGAATTCTCTTCCTGTAATAAACCATAACTATGAGTATAGAGGATTCCAATGAGTTCCATAAATCCTAGCAAATTATCTGACTTGAGGGTGGTTTGGGGAGTCCCTGAGCTTTTGCTAATGTAGAAATGAGGGTGTTCTCTTGTGGGGACTTTTCCTTCCAACTTCTCATATGGCCTTAATGCTCATACATGGGCTCATAAAAAAGGACTGAGTTAATGGGGGTAGGGAATAACTAATTGATTCATTCTTAATTTTCTCAGAGTATTCTTTTGTTATTGCCATTTCTAGAGAGTAAACATGAGGAAATGAGTTGATTATAGGTCCAAGAACCTCATGCCCAAAGCTAACTTTACAGTTGAGAATCAGGCAGGAAAGACTAAAGCCAAGTGGCACAAAATTAACAAAATTTAAGGACTTGGCTTGTGATTCAGAACACAGGGATTAATGGTCTTCTGGCTGTACCAGACAGGAAGTTTGGTGTCACACCCACGGCCAGGTCAGGCTCCCTGTCTCCTCTTTCATAAAAACACTCTGACCTGGGGAGGCAATTATATGAGGAACAGGAATATGGTAATAAGGCTTCACCCAGAGGCAGGGAGTCACGAGTAAGACTAATACAGTTCTTTCCAGGGAGTTCTGATCTTAATCCAAGGTCCACATTTGGAAATTAGGAGGCTGGTCAGGGATCCAGAATCAAGCTACTACTTTAGAACAGAAGTCTGGAGGCTGATTAAAATGAGCAACTCTGAGGGCTGTCTCTTACTCTTCTTCATAGAGCATCTCCATCCTCTCAGGATTCATTTGTACAGGTGGCTCCTGAACTCACAACCTGGGCTCCCAACTTCCAAATGCCTATTAGAAATTTCTTCATAGAAGTCTTCACCTTGCCAAGAAACTCAATATGTTAAAAAAAAAAAAAAAGGGAATTCAACATTCCTTTCAACTCCCTTCAAAAATCTACCACATCAAGTGCCACAATTATTCTCCTAGCTAACTAGGAAAGGCCCTTCCTAGTCAGTATGGGGTCTACCTCTCCATGGTCCTTAAATACAATGCATTGAGCCCTGTCATTTCACTCTTCCAAATGCACTTTTCTCTGGGCCTGGCTCTTCATTCTCACTGCTACAACACTAGGTCCAGGCCTTTGTGGCCTAATGGGCCCCTGTGCTATAGTAACTAGATGGTTCTTTATCATTAAAGAACACCTACGTTGCACCTGGCTCTGTGCTAAATCTTGGTATGAAAGAGCCTGTTGAATCCCATTAAGCCTATTAGAATCACCCACATTTTACAGATGAGGAAATTTAGCTCTCTAAAGTGGAGTAATTTGCCCACATCACAAAGCCAGTAAGTGGCAGAGTCGATCCTCAATAGAAGACTGTGATTTGGGAGCCAGATTGTCTCTCATAGGAGGACGGAAGTGGAGCAAGAACTGGAAATAGGAGACACTTCTGAAACATGGAAAGGAAAGAGATCAAGACATGTAAGGAAAGAGATCAAGACACAGGTGCTGGCAGTAGTACAAGACTGGAGCTTCTAATCCAGGCAAATGACCAGCAGCTCCACAGATGGAAGAGGTGAAGCCAGAAAGCAAGGCTGACAGGCCAGCTGGGGAACAGATGCTGACCCTGGTGAAAGGGTGGGAGCTGGACCCTGACATCAGCTATCTGTGGAGGACATCTGGGAGTAGGATGTGGGCCAGTCCTCAGCAAAAGACACTTGATGGCTCACACTTGAGTTCTGAGTCCAGTTGAAGCCCATGGCGGGGGTGGGGGGTGGGGGGGGTATCCCAGGTCCTAGGCCAGCAAGCTGCCCTCCTGCCCAGGTGGAGGCAGAGATGAGAGGAGGGCGGGGGAATGCCAAGGACATAGAGTTGAGAAGCCCAGCAGTACCCTGGTCAACAAGCAGCACTGTAAGCGGGGAGAGCACTAGTCCTGAAGGGCTCATCTTGAGAGGCACATCGTCTTTTAACCTCACCACTTATGTTAATTCCTTCCAGACTTTCCTATAGTTTTAATCAGCACGGTTACTTACTACCACTCAAATCCAGCTGTTCCTTTCCACCCAAACTACCCTCTGTGCAATCTTGAAGAAGTCCCCGGCGAATGGGATTCTGTTAGTGTAAGCTTAATTCCCAACCTTCCCACAGACACAGAGCATTTTGGAACTAGAAAGGCTTGGAAACCATCTTGCCCACATACTTCATATGGGTTTCAAAGTTGTCTCTTACCCACAGTCAGAAAACACAGCCCCTGGGTGCGGGGGGCGGGGGGGGGCGCAACTGGTGCTTCTGTTGCAACAAATTGCCCTCCGTGTTGACCTAATTCACTCAGAATTATTCTTTTTCCCTCTTCTCCCCGCTGCTCTTCACAATTGCTAGTGTCTCATTTATCACCTGGCACATAGATAATATGGAATTAATGTCTGTTGCTATGGATTCAATGATCTTGACGTATCAGGAGAAAAATAACCTAGTGAAATTAATTTATTCTAAGGTGTGAATGACTGATAGCTATCCCTTAACTCTTCAGACTATATGCATTTTAAAACAAGATCTTTGTCACCCAAATTATCTGTTAGAAATTCATAAGACATAGGATTATTTTGGGACTAAAGACAGCTTCATAAATCCTACAAAAGGTGGGAGTACTATTTGCATTTTGTTAGTGTCACACTGTTACCACTAGAGGGAGCTTAAGGCCACCCCCATCCCTCCACTCCTGCTCCTTCAGCAACAGAGCAAGGGGACATTGTAAGTCATTTTATGGGGCTGCTGTGGTTCAGGTAACATCTTTCTTGTTCTTTAAGTTATCCCTTAGAATTCTGTCTTCTTCAAACAACCTCAAGTTTGGGAGTTGGATCTTCTAGTGAGGCCTAGAGGGGCTGGAGTAAACTGATTTTAGGAAGAGATTATTTTGCCGCATTCTCTTTTCTTTCCTGCAATGAGAAAGACAAACTGTAGCGGAGCAAGAGTCAGGCAGGTGTGGATTCAGGAATAAAGGGCCAACAAGCTACTTTCAACTTGCAGTCCTGGAGGCCACAAAGGCCCTCCCTGAGTCTCTGCAGGGTCAATGTTATGAGAAAGGGGCTTGTGCCCAAAGCCTAGCCTGGCTTGCTCTTGGGCATCCACCTGGGCACCTGTTGCAGAAGGCAGGTACAGGAAGAAGTCAGTTTCCAGGATGCTGGGCACTGACATCTCTACCACATAGAATTCCATCTTATCCTTTCACATTCCCTCCAAAAGGATTTGTGGGCCCCACTTCCTTTCCTTTCTGGCTCCAAAGAAGGGTCATTACCAACTTATTTCCTCCATGATTTCCTTCACGGAGGGAAAATTCCTTTTCCCTGGAGCAACAGCTCTTATAGGTAGTCCTTAGAACCTCAGCATGACCTGGGAACTTGTCAGAAACACAAAGCCTCAGACCACAGCTCAGACCTATAAGTGGGATCAAGTTCTAATACGATGGCCTGGGACACAGGAACTGGCCCTTTTACTCCAGGTGATTTTGACACAATGAAAGTGAGAGAAGCAACTACTGCCTGCAGAGAGGAGAGAGGCCACCCTGACCCATGACAGCCGCTTTGAGGAATAGCAAAGAGAGCCTTTTCTTTTCTTTCTTTTTTTTTTTAATAATAAATTTTATTTTTATATTCCCCATACAGTTGCAACCCCCCCCTTTCTGATCCCAATCCCTCCCTTCCCGCCCCCCCACCCCCCCAAAAGTGTCTCTGTTTCATAGTTTTTTGTTGATTCTGATTTTCACTTTCTTATAGTTATTCATTTTCCTGGTCCCTTATTTAAGTTTTCTAGATTCCTGCTATGAGTGAGACCATCCGGTATTTTTCTTTTTCTTTTTGGCTTATTTCGCTGAGCATGATCCCTTCCAGCGCCATCCATGTTGCTGCAAATTGCATGTGTTTATCTTTTTTGAATGCTGAGTAATATTCCATGGTGTATATGTACCACATCTTCTTGATCCAGTCATCTATTTTTGGGCATTTGGGTTGTTTCCAAAACTTAGCTATTGTAAACAGTGCTGCTATAAACATAGGGGTGCAGGTGTTCTTTGGAATTGATGTTTCTGTGTCCTTTGGGTAGATACCTAGGAGTGGAATTGCTGGATCATATGGAAGCTCTATGTTTAGTAGGTCCAGAAATCTCCACACAGCAAGAGAGACTTTTCTAACTCTGAGAACATCTGGGCCATGAAGAGTCCTTTCTTGAGATTAAAAGAATCATGATCATAACCTGCTGGCAGCAGCTAACATCTAGCAGCTCATTCCATGCCACCAGGCATAGTGCAAACCCTGCAAAATACACCCTCACGGTAATGCTCTGACCAAGCCCTTCTGTAGTCGGGATCCCTAGGGTTAGAGTTGATACCTCATCCTAGGCCGCACAGCCAATAGGTGGTGGGGGTAGGGCATGAATGCAGCTTTACCAGCTTCCATTGCTCGAGGTCTAGAGCCAGGCTTCCTCAAGTGATGTACCAGGATGGGAAGGTGGGCTTCAGCTGGGTTTCCTTCATCTTTTGGGGCTCATTTGCACTGGTTTTGCAACGGCTATCCTGACCCAGCTCCCTGGCTGCCAAGTAGCCTCCCCAGGCAAGAGCCCTGTCCCTGTTCTGGGAGCCAGGTCAGCCACCTGCACTTGACTGCCCGCCTTGGTTGTTTCTCCAGTTCCAGCCTTGCCTAGAGGTCGCAGCCCAGCTTTCAGAAGTGGGGCCCAACCGCTAGCCCACGTCACCTCTCACTCTTGGTGCTCCTAAGTCATCTCTGCCTACACAGTTTGCAGAGCCCCTGAGTCGGTACTGGGGTCTCTGCTCATCTGCTCAAATGCTCAAATCAATAGTGGTGGCTGCTGTGCCTGTGCCTGGAGCAAATATGTATCTGTCAGTTCATGACACTAACCAGTACCTGTCTCAGAAGGGACAAGGAGCGGACTGCCCTTGGGGGTCTTTGGGACAATCAGGAGGCAGCTGATGAATTCACATCTTTCTGAGCAAAAGCACTTGGAGTTTCCTGCCTTTTTGATGTGCCCCTGAATGCCTCCCCCAGCTGCCAGTTAGGGTACCTGGTTTGCTTTCGTGTTGCGGGGTTTCCTGAGGGCTCACAGGACTACTGATTGGGATTTCCCTGTAGGAGGCCCGGAGAGTCACGGCTCCCTTGCCAGTGCAGATTTTTGCAGGATCCATGTCTGAAAGGAAAAGAATCCAAAAGAGAAGGCTGAATCCAAGGTTCCTGAAGGATTAAAGCAACAGTCAGCCAGCAACTTGTTACAGGTGGGGAATGAGATGAACCTTGCGAAAGCAAGAGTCTGGTGGTGAATGAAAATTAATCTGCCGGTGGTGGAGGGACAAGTCGTACTTCCAGAGGCTTACTGCACGCATGAGGTTAGGGGGAATGGAAGCACAGTGAGCTCTGAGTCAATGGATGAGTTACAGTATCAGCTGAAAACAATTCAAAGTGAAAGCATTTTGATTCCTTTTATTAAATGAGGTTTAGGTTGGTGAGCATACTTCTGACCAATTAGTAAGGCAGAGTTTAAGACAGAGTTCATGAAAGATTTCTCAAGCTCCCAGACCATCCTTCTCACACCAGAGTGGGTTGGCAGCATGGGAAATAGGTGGTTATTGTGGAGAAGCTCTGCTCCTCGCAGCTCTCCAACAGAAAGAGGAAAGGAAAACCTTGCATGAGGCAGTCAAGACCCTGAATAATGAGACAGGATATGCTGCCTGGGGAGAAAGATCATGGGTGACAGCCTTGCATTCCAAACTTAATGGAGAAAATTCACACCAAAGAAAACGACTAGAAATGCTATATCCTTCGGTGAAAGGGGTTTGCTGCACCCCAGGCTGAGGCTTCATGTGGTCCTGACCTCTCTTACAGTTCACAATGGCCTAATAACAGACCCAGATCATCTTTCAGAATTCCACTGAGAAGGATTTCAAAATAGGCTTCAAAGATCTGGATGCCCATCCTCCAGGAAAACCTGTGTTGGGGAGGCGAGAAACTGCTCAGAAAGCACACACGCTGCATGATTCTTGCTGCGCAGCTGAGCTGAACTGAATCCCATGGTTCAGTTTTTTAATTGCTCACAGCACAGCCTGGATCTCTGACCTAAAATTGTCAAGTCTGGGATTGTGTGTTAAAGTTTAAAGTGAGCACCGGGCAGGACAGGGATTCAGATGTCCAGTTCATGCCGGTTCCTAATTGTCAGGACAGAGAAAAGCAAACCCTCCTCACTCCTCACTCAGGCAGAACCATTAGTGTTCAGAAGTGAACACATCTGCCCCATCAGCATCACTTCCACTGAAAGTGGATCACAAAAATACAAAAATATGGCAGAGCAGCCCGTGGCCTTGGGGAGCATTTGATTTATTCAACTCTATCAAGGGGAGAAGAGACTGACATCACAAAACTATTGGGAAAATGATGCGTAGTCTTTTCAAAAGGATGAGGTGCAAACTGACAAATCCAGCCCATCAATAGGTTTCTGGATACACAGATTTGCCCAAACCCTGAGGGCACCACTGGAAAAAGAGCCACCTGGGTCACCGGGGTCCTGCTTTGTATACAAGGAAGCTATGGGCTGGAGCTGACACCCGAATGACACTCCTTCCTTGAGGGGAGAGGCAAGAAGGGGTCACAGCTGAAGTTGGGGGAGGGCAGGGAATGCTCTGGGAATTGGCACAGAAAGCATCTGAGGCATGTCTAGGTTTAGCATCTAAGAGAGTTGCCTCAAGTTCAACCCAATTCAGAGGTTCCCTTGTGCAAATACATCAATTCTTGGGGACACTGCAGTTGTAATAAAGTATTGGGAGAATGTTAGAAATCCAAGCGGCTCAGACACCCATCAGAGGAAACATTCAGCCTCTGGGTTGCCCTTCTGAGCAGGGTAGGGGCAAGGCATCTGCCCTCAGTGCCCCACACTTGCGGGTAGACAGAAAAGGCGCACACACGCACGCACATTCACACACAGATACAGGCAGAAAGGAGGCTGGCAGAGGAAGTGGAGGGAATGTCTCCTAAACATGCAAGGATTAAGCCTCCAAGTCTTTGTTAGAAGGAAAGAAGAAAGGAAAACCATGCATGATCTGCTAAACATTAGAAAAAGAATCCAACCCAAGGAGAGATACCTGGAGGGAGTACTAGGCCTGAAGAGTTTTGCACTGTCTTCACAGGAATTATTTTAACAGCAGAAATAGAGCGTGCACGTAAAGGGTCGGCAGTTGCTGAAAACACAAAAGGGTAAATGGAACACCCAGAAAACATTTGGGAAACACTCAGGCAGTTGAGGAACTGGGCAGGACAATAGGAGGAAGTCACCCACATGACAAGAACAACACGAAGAGCAGCAGATGCAGTCATGTAAAATACCCTGCTTTCTCTCTCCAGAGCTCTGTGCCAAGACAGCAGAGCTCCCCTCCCACCGTCACCAAATGCAGTTGGTCAGTGCTGGTCTGTGCCTCCTGCCTCACCAGGAACTTGCCAAGGCTCCGGACAAAGAGATTTACAGCAACACAGATGGTCTGGCAAATGGAGGTGGGGGAGAGCAGTCAGGGCCCAAGGGGCTCCCTGGGAGAACACTGGGGAGTGTGCACTGGGCGAGGACTCCACGGAGAAGTGCTAGGGCTCACTGGCCCCAGATGAGTGGAAGGAGGAAGGAACAAGTTTGTGAGTTGCTGATTCTTTCGGCCATCACACCTGCTTCCCCAGAAACCTAACTCAGGGGTCCTGTGCCTGCTCTGACAACCACAGCCCTCTGGCCCCAAGCAAATCAGAACCCCATCTGTTGGGCAGCAGATGGTCTTGCTTCAGCTCACCCTTCTCTGGGTAAGAGTTTGCCAAGTGTTCAAGTGCATGCTCAAGATTCTGGGCAGCACAAGGGCCAGGATGCTGGCACCAGCTGAGGGATGCAGAGCTGGGATCACCACCTAGGTGTGGTGCAGGCTGCTGTCCTTGAGTCCTGGTACAGGTTTCCCAGATTCTGGCATCTCAATGGTAAGCATATTCCCAAAGCCTTCTCACAACAAGCCTGTTTGTGAGGCCTCCCCTTGGCCCTCTAATGGCAGCAAACAAAGAGAAGGCAGCTTATGTGCTACGGTTCCAACATCACAACGCTGCATGTGCTGAGATGGCTTCCAGAGCAATCCTACTGACTGCTCCTGAGAACCACCCAGGAGGTTGGCTGGGTAAGGGATTTTGTGGCGATTTTCAGAGAAGAGGCCAGAGGCTCAGAGAACAGCTCAGAGCCATCCAGTTCTCAAGTGAAGAGGCTGAGACAGGAGCTCAGCTGTCCAGGCACCTGGTTCAGTGACCTCCCTAGGCCACCCTGATGACCTTCAGGTGACAGCTGCCTCCTTTCCAACCAATGGTCTTTCCAAGGAGTGGACTCCCTCCCCTGCCTCCCTCCCCAAACAACCCTGCAATCTACTCTTTTGATGAATTCACAGGGATAGGGTCGGCAGCACACAAGCTTCAAAAGCACTGGAGCCCCACATCCTCCCTGGCTCACGGATGCTTAAATACTCCACCGGCAATGCCTTCAGCATGCTCTCAGAGCAACTTAGCAGAGACTGTCCATGCCCTTGAGAGCACAGCCCCACACCAAGAGGGTGGCCAGGCAGGAGAGCAAGCAGGCAAGGAGAGGACAGCAGCAGGTCACCTCCTGCCCAGAGGCAGTCACCTCCCAAGCAGCCCCCCAAGCCCCCACTCTGCCTTCTCATTTCCTTCTTCCCACTTCCCAGATTTCCCAGATTTCCACCTTGTTTTGAAAGGAATACTTGGCAGAACTAGATCAAAATGACAAAGAACAAACATGGCAAACTCTGAAATTATTCTTGACAAATGTGGCATTCTAGTTTAAATGTCCAACAGGACTTCCTTTTTGACACCAGAAAGTTTAGCTGGCTGAGCACTGCTAGAAGCCAGGAACCCAGAGTCTGAATAACTCAGAAATAAATGCATCAGATAGTCAAAGTCTCTCATTTTGCAGATACCTATGAAGACAAGGACCGCCCCAGTGCCCCCAAGATGTCTATGAGGGTGGAGGCAGGATGTACCTCACTCCAACTCACACCACACAGCAGAGGTGACAGGGGAGCTGGGCTGCCTGCCACTCGGGCACCATGTTGCAAGGGTCAGGAGGAGAGGACCAGCGGACCTCAAAGGTTGTCTCATCTATTATTCATTTCACCCTTCCAGCTTTGGTACTAACATCTTTTAAGACTGAAAATAGCAGACGACGTGCATAAAGCTAATGCCTCTGAGGTAACATCTTTCAGACGTTTAGGATCTTGCCTCCGGGTCAATTTGGCCAACGGTCACTGTAACCGGTGAAGGTGAGACAGGGCTCAGGAGAGTGCAGACGAATAAAGGCCACAGGCGCCAGGTGTGAGGCATGCCTCAGGCTGGTACCTGTTTGCTGTTTGCGGCATCTGGCAAGACAGGGGCTGTCTTCATTATGTCAACTCACAGCGGGAAAAGGTAGCCTCACACTCAGGACAAGCAAGAATGAGCTGACGGTCTCAGAAAATCAGCAAGGGAAGCAGACCCATGACTGTCCCTATCAGGGGGTGGCCTAACCTGACACACTCTGCTCCTCCTTAGAAACACGTTCCTGTGCCGATCCAGGCTTCCCTTCAAGAGCCTTACCTTTGTCTTGCCCGTTGCTTCCTGGTGCCAACCCGTTCACCACAGCTTTAGAGGCACCAACATCACATTCTGAAAGGAAGAAAAAGCACAGACAGGTGATACATCTGGCCAACATTTACAGGGTCACACCTGGCAGGAAGTGCTGGCGCCATGCAGGTTTTCTCAGGCCTGGGGCTGGGCCGCTGGGGTCCTGGGGAGAGTTCTCAGAACACTGTGTGGCTTGAACCAGGAGGAGATGCAAAAGCAAGGATGAAGTATGTGGTGGGTGATGTAAATTCTTTGGCTTCTTTGCTATGGCTTCATTTCTGACATTTAAAAAGAATATTTTTATTTTTTAATATGAAAAAACATTAATTTTTAATATTAAAATGTTAGTTATGTTCAGCTTTGTTAGAATATGCTCTCAGAGATTCATACATTGCTTTACTAACAGAATTTCAATTTGAAATTCATGTTGCCTATTACACATTTAAATACATTCATATTGCTGATATTGCTTTCAAGAATCATCAACACGAAAAACACCTACAAGTTGAGGATGTAAGTTTAACATTATTCATTGTCCATCATTGTGTTTGTAATGAAGAATTCATAAAGTTTTATTTTTTTTCCTTGCATTTGCATTTTTTTAATTATTTTATTTTATATAATTCTTACATCACTTTTCATTTTTGCACAATGCATGCATTTTCATCCTGGTTATATTCCCTATACAATTCCCACCCTCCCCCCACATTCTGACCCTAATCCTACTTCTCTTTCCCCTGCCCCCCACTGTAGTGTCTCTGGTCTATAGTTGCTTGTTGATTTTGATTTTTACTTTACTGCAATTAGTCTTTTTCCTGGTCCCTTATTTAGGTTTTCTAAATTCCTGCTATGAGTGAGACCATCCGGTATTTTTCTTTTTCTTTCTAGCTTATTTCACTGAGCATGATCCCTTCCAGCTCCATCCACGTTGCTGCAAATTGCGTGAGTTTATCTTAAAAAGAATATTTTTAATTCTCTCAAAATGACACCTTCAGCCCGACCAAGGGCTATCCAGTCATCTAATACCATCTCGAATGCCTCTGGAATGGGGTCACAGGGACGCAAGTCTCAGGCTCCTTGACACCGTCCCCAACCCTGCATCACCAAAGTCAGAAGTCAGGCTGTCCCTCCCATGAAGTGTCTCGAGACACTGCACCTCCTCACTGGTCACTGCCCCAGCTGAGGCTCTTGTATCATGACCCAGAGAGGATGGGGCTTCCTGACTGCCCACCCTTGTCTCCCTCCTGTCCCTTCCCCACCCCAGCCCTTAGTCTGCATCCTCAGAACACTTTCTAGACCTTGATCTGACCCAGCCCTCCCCGAGTTAAAAAGTCCCAGGCTGAAAGGCTGATGAAAACAAAACAGAACAATGCAGTATGATTTTCTAAAACCCCTCTACTTTGAATACACTGTATTTCTCCTCTTTTGAAAATAAAAACATGGGTTTATTCTGGAAATCCAATCATTTATATTACCAAGACGGGAAAATTATATTCCAAGTCCCCAGAAAATATACATATGATTGTGTGGAATCTAATTTTTTAAATTCTCTACCTCAAAACTGAAGATGTAGGCCAGAGACGACAAGGCGGCAGGTGGGCAGACCCTGCCTGCCTGGGACACCTGAGCCAAATGCCTGGAATGATCCCTTGTTGGGAGAGACCCCGCGCAGTGAGCAGAAGGGCCTTGACCTGAGTCCCTAAGGCATGTGAAAACACATGCGTCTCGGAGGAAAACCTCTGGGTGACAGGACTTGGTGTTGAGTGCCCGGAAAGTGACCTGCGTGGAGTAAGGCCCCTACATCTCCACAGTCTGAGAATAACAAAAATAATGAGCAGACTTCCCAGGCACTAGCTAGGGGGTGGTTAGTGAGAACTAACCACCTGGTACCCTACTGTCTGAAGTAAATAGATAATAGAAAGTAGACAAATCATTCATATGTGTTATCATTATATGGTATGCTTTGATGTTACACCTGCTGCAATTAAAATAGTATATAATGAGCACTAAGACAATAAAGATTTACTGCATGCTGGACATGACAGTCCCCCATGTCTGATTTTTCACCGTCGCGTCCCAGGTCCAGGACTCACTAGGAGTCCACAATCCCTAACAGACAAGAACCAGCTGAGCCATAGATGGAATCCTAACAGCCATGGTTTTTCATACGTTTCTTTGCTTGGATCTCAGGATCTACGCTAAGCAGTCCATAAACAGCAGCTCATTTCATCCTTAAGACCTGCCACTAGGAGTGAGGAGCGTCTATTTTATAGATTAGAAACTTGAGGGCTCAGAGAAGATGCCAGGCACCCAAGATCACTCAGCTGGGATCTGAACTGTGGGCCGCCCACCCCATAGCTCATTTTCTTTGTCCCCAAAAGGGATAAACATTTTGGTTTCCTGGTTTATACCTATATTGTTTCTCCAAATGCTGGGACGAAAGCCCATTCCAAACTCGGTCGTTCATTTGGCTGAGACGATGTCACCCTAGTCAGGTTCTTAATCAGCCTCCCAAGACTAATGACCTAACACACCATGGACAGGCCAGCCTGGACACTGCCACACACGGCAGGAGCTGCCCATACCCACCCCACAGTGGCCTGGCCCTCCAACGCTGGCCCCACTAGTTCTGTACTGCTTGCTGCCCCGATCCACAGATGAAGGTTAATTCCCCGGATGCAAAGGTCTCCTTTGCACCTACATCTCTGGGGTGGGTGGGAGGAGGGTGTTGGCAGGAAGGCCAGAAATCCAAGTGAAAGAAACATGATGAATTCCATCAGCCCATCTGCTCTGTCTTGAACTATCCCTTTCCCATGCACCTGCCTAAGTCCTCTGATAGCCTCACTTCTAGGCCTGGGGGCCTTGCTCTGGGCTTCCTCCAGCTAGCCCAGGGGAGTCTCGAGGTTGCCATGTAGTCCAGTCCCATGTCCATGCTTTCTTATTCTTCTTTTAATTAAAAATAATAATTGAACTTGAAGAAATCTGGTGTCCAACAGCCTGGGTCTGCTCAGCTCTGAAATAAACTATCCAGGTAATCTCATACCCTTAGGGCCTCAGTTTCCCCACATATAGAAGGTGGGTAGGAAACCATGTCCACCTTTTTAGGCTTGCCAGGAGAATGACATGAGATAATCCTGGCAAAGCACTTCCCTCGGGCAGGGGCAACCTAGTACAAACCAGGAATGAAAGGGTGCATCGTTTCCGTGCTGCTTTTCCCACAAAGGTTAAAACAAATGTTTTCTATGTAGCTGCTTTTTCCCAAATGATCACTTTAACAGTTGCATAATATTCCATCAAGTGAATACACATACTGAAACTATTCATTCCCCACCTTCATGGGGGTGATTCTTCTGTTTCCTTCAAATAAAGATAGAAATTCCCAAGAGTGGGATTTTTGGGTCAAAGGGCCTAGATTTTTTGGACTCTTCTAATGAAATGCCTCTTCCATCACCACACCCCAGAGAGCCTAGGGAGCAGTCCCACCAGTATTTCCACACCCTCACACTCCTGTGGGGCCCCCTCCCTTCCTCTCTTAATGCCTGAGTGGCAAGGCCAGTTTAGGTGAATGCTGATATTAGAATGAGAAATTTCAGGCTACAGAGCAAAAGGTGAAAAGAGAGGGGGGAAAAAAAAAACCCAGGCCTACTTTAACACAAAAAGTCAAACAAAAGAAAAACAGAGTTACTAAGCAGGGTTTACTAGAAGTGCTGAGTTCACCTGGAGGGAGAAGGAGGAAGGTGGACTGTTCATGCACAGTAAAGGTGCTCAAGGAACAGTGGCAGCCAAGTTCCTCGCTGCCAGATGGAATGTGAGCTGACAACCTATGGATGGGGCACTGGCCATGCCTTGGACACAGTCTTCCTTGGTATCTTAGAGCCCCACTGAATCCTTACAGTGCAAAATCCCCATGAACTGGTGCTTTCAGGATGTCCATTTTACAGAGGAGAATGCAGAGAGAAGAATGGTGTGGCCCTGAGCTGCTTCACTGGAACCCTCCTCCATCCTACGCACACACTGTGCTGCCTGGTTTAGGATTGGGGGGAAAGGTTTGCCAGTCTGCAGAGGTCTCCTATCATTCTGGAAACAATGTGGGATTAGCAGACCCATGAATAAGCTGTGCACTGGGTACCCCCTCCCCCATGCCCTCTGCAGGTCTTGGAGGCTCCAAGGCATGCTCAGTAACCAGCATGGACTAAAGTTCCAGATGGAAGCTTCTCTGTCTGGAATTCTGGGCAGGAAAACTGACATCTCTTGGCTCTACAATGAACAGCTCCCCACGCTTTCTACCCCAGCTTTAAACTGAAAACACTTAAAATTGGTCATCTGTTTGGATTTTGCTCTTAACTATCAAAGGCATGGCAAGTGAAAGAAACATGATGCAAGCTTGCTTGCAAGGCTTGCAAGGCATGCAAGCTTGCTCTACCAGCCTGGATGATGGAAGTGATGGATCAGTTCCACAATTATGGTAGATCTATTTACTTTTGCTGCAGTCACAGGATTAAAATATACCCCTGAAGTAGATATACATGTCAAAATTTATCAGTGTATGCTTAAACTATTTGCAGTTTATTGTATGCCAATTATATCTTGATAAGTTTTTTAAAATGGAGAGCAAAGGGGCTTATTATAAAGATTAGGATGTGGTATGTATAAAGTGTATAACATAGATTGGACACACAGTTTGGGCCTTCACTACACATGGGAAATATGGGTAAAGCTGCTTGGTTTTATAGATTTGTCAGGAAGAGAAAGACAGGGTTTAAAATGACTTACCAGAGCTCATGGTGGTGACAGAGCAAGTCTTCTGCAGCTGGGGCTCTGAACTGCTCTGTGGAAACACAAAGGGGAAAACACAATGGAATTGATGAGTGGCAGGTTCCAGATAAATCCCTCTGATTCACATTAAAAATGCAAACACTGGATAACCCATGATGAAAGGGTGAGCCAGGAGTGGCTTGGCCAGGTGGCTGGTTCTTGGGGCCCAGTACTAATGTGGCCTTGGGCACATCACTCAGCCTCCTGGGTCTCAATCATGGCCTACTTAGCTTAGATACTAGCTGAGATCGCTTCCAGCTCTATAAACCTCAAGCTACATGAGTGCATGGTGGGTTAAGGAGAGGGTGCAGGAGAGAACCAAATTTTGGGAGAAAGGTAAAATCACAACACAAACTGATTATCAGAGGATGATCATTATCGTCGTCACTTACATATAGTTTATTATGCACAAGGCAATGTTCTAAATGCTTTCAACATGTTAATTCATTTAACCCTCACAACCACACCCTAATATCATGTTATAGAGAGGAGGGAACTAAGGCATGGAGAGCAGAATAGCTTGCCTCCCTGTGTGGCAGAGCTGATACAGGAACCCAAACAGCCTGACCTTCTGCCTGGAGTTGGGAAGGTATCCTATCTACTGACCACTAGTATCCAAATGGATAGCCTTCCATTTGGTATGGTTCCATCCCAAATCCCCAATAACCACTGACCTGTCACTATAGTTTTACCTTTCACAGAATTTTATGTAAGTGACATCACAGTATATGTAGCCTTTTATGCCTTTAGCAAAACATTTTCCTTTAGCAAAAGACTTCTGAACAGCAGTTGGCCGTGGCCATGTGAGTCTGTTTCTAGATTGAGTCTTTTTCCATTGATCTGTCTTTACCCAATAACTCAGTCTTCATTACTATAAATTTGTAAGTTTCGAAATAGGCTATGGGAATCTTCCAAACTTCATTCTTTTCAAAAACTCTTTGGCTATTCTAGGTCCTTTGTATTTTCATATAAAATTTAGAGTACTCATCTTTTTCTATTGCAAAAATTAAAGCCTACTGGAATTTTTATTGGGATGTGTTAAATCTATAGATGAATCTGGAGGAAATAACTTTTAACAATATTGAGTTTTTTAATTTATGAGAATGAACAATTTCCCCCTTCTTTGAAGACTTCTTTAATTTCAGCAATGTTTTGCAGTTTTCAAAGTACAGGTCTTGCAAATATTTTGAATAGGAAGGCCTAGTTGAACAGATTGGAAGGTCACATAACCTGAAAAGCAAATTTTCGGGATATGTAGAACCTTGCCGTTTTAAAGTGTGGTCTGCAGATGCGCAGCATTGGCATTAGCCAGGAACTTATTAGAAATGCAGAAACTCAGACACAACCCCATACCAACTGAATCAGAATCTGCATTTTAACAACATCTCCAGCTGGTCCCTATGCACTTTAAAGTATGAGAAGCAATGAGGAGGAGGAAATCAACTCCCTGGTTCATGAATTCTGTAATAAGAAGGTGAAGGTCAGGAATGGGGGTCTGCAAAAGGAGACATGCTTTAGCTTCCCTTTTCACACGCTGAAACCGGGCACTGGCTTCCCTTCTGGGCTGCTATCTTGCTCATTGTCCTTGATCAATACAAAGTAAAAATCAAAATCAACAAGCAACTATAAACCAGAGACACACTATGGGGGGGTGGAGAGGAAGGGAGGGGCGGGGAGAGGAAGGACTAGAGTCAAAATAAGAGGAGGGTGCAATTGTATGGGGAATATAACCATAATGAAAATGCATACATTGCGCAAAGATGAAAAATGATGTAAGAATTATATAAAATAAAATATTTAAAAAAAAGAAAAAAAAAAAACTGAGCAGAATGCTAGGGACAAAAAGAAAATCACTCTAAATCCTTCTCTGCAGCCCAAATCAGCAGTAATTTTGCCTCTGTCACTGTGAAATACACCTGAGACTATGCAAGACTTTCAATAGCCCCCTGTCATTGCTGTCTAAGCTGGGGAAACATTTGTTCTCTCAGTCAATGAACACAGCCTGCTGTGTTCTGTATGGCCCAGTGGTTTCCAATCCTGGTTTAATGATGTCCCACTTTACCTCCCAGGATCAAGAGGGCTGTGTGGTATCATTCTAATGCTTTTATTTTTAAAATAATTTCAATAACTTTATTAGAGTGAAGTTTTGAAAATTAAAGCCCAATTGAAGAAATATTTTTTATTCAGCAGGAAGCTATCTTAACAGAAAGCATTTTTATTCCTTTTATTCCTTTCTAACAATTATCCAAATGCATAAATAGCATTTACATAGTTATAAACATAATGTCTGGACAGTTTTATGTTCTAATTGCTAAATTAAATATTTCACAAATTTTTCTCATTTCTAAAGCCATCAGCTCCATTTTAATAGTTGTATAATATGTCACTGCAATAACTCTATAATTCATTTACCAATTCCCTCTATATAGTTTAGCTTAACTAAAAAAAGCTGAAAATAAGTACATGGCACACAGCATTCTTGGCCAGGGGAGAGATGAATGGAGATGTTTTATGAATCAAATGGAATAAGCGATCACTGTCAAATATTGGTAGCCCTTTGCATATTTTATATTTCTCAATATAGATACTACTTATTTCTATGTGTCAGCCCCATCTAACTTACAAACTCATCCAAAGTACACATGGTCAAGGATAATATCCAAAAAATTTAAGTATCACTTTGCCACATCCAGCCTAGATGCCAGTTGTAGCATCCTCTGGGAGGCCCCTCCCTTTGTTTGGCGTGAACTACTCAGTGCTTGGATGTGAAAAAGGTGGAAAAATAGGCCTGAGGTAGTTGGAAATTATTTCAATATTTTAAGAAGTAGTAGGAGGTGACAATGACTGCATAGGTGAGTATCGGCTCCACACACAAAGACACTTAGGGAAGTAGGTTCTGTTGCAGGCTCATTTGATGACTTTGCATCTACAGCAGGTGACACAAAGCAGCAGGGGACAGTTTAAAAAAAAAAAAACAACTGCAGCAAGAGCATCGGTGGCAGCTGTGCCAAGGACTGTGCTCAGTATCTAGTCCCACTCAGTGGGGGCAACAGCAGTGACATCAATGCAGACTATTTCAAGGCCTGCTTTTTGGCTCTGATTCCAGCCAACTCAGCCTCCTTAAATTCCTGCCCCTGTTCTGAATGCAGTTCTCTAGCCTCCCACAAACTCTGAATTACCCCAGAACTTGCCAATAAATCCCCTTCCAGTTTGAATTAACCAGAAGTGGTTTCTGGTCATCTGCAACCCAAGAATCTAGATCAGGGCAAGATGGGTGGGTAGGGGGTCCCAATTTCAATCAAAGAGGAGAATCTTCATTCTTCTCTCCTGAAATGAGACCATCCCAGTCAGATCCTAGTGTGGGTCAGTGACTGTTGCTGTCTCTACAACCTGAAGTGCTGAGAGTCAGGGCAGTGAGGATGTAGCACCAGCTGGGCTTGCGGATGCTTAGCGAGTGATGACGCAGTCCCTGCAGATAGCCCAAGCGATTACAGTCACATGGAGACTGTGAGAGTTTATTTTACATAAAAACCCCTGACACTATATATTTATTTTAAAACTAAGCTGTAAAAAGCTTGATTTGGTTGAGAATACGATGGAACATCTTTGGAATTTCTCCCAACATCCACTCCAAAGGGAGCAGCCACCTTTGGGTAAAAGCCAAAAAGAACTGAGGATTCTAGTGGCAAAACCAGACAGAGGTGAGTGGGGAGCTATCCCTGGTGGGGTGCAGGAAACTAGCATCACAGCTTGGATGGGCAAGTGAGGTTAAGCAGGCACTCCACAGCTTGGGCTGTCGGACCTACCGTACTTGGTCAAAGTTCTACGGCATCAACACAGACATTCCACCAGAAGAACAAGACGTGAAGTAGCCAGAGTTATTAAGAATGCATCCAGATAATTAACAGTCCTGCATGGCCCCTCCCAACTCCATGACCCTGTAATTCTGAGATAAGTCTTGATGACACATAATCACTAAAAAGTAAAAATTATATTCATGTTTCCAGCGGAAAGAGGCTCCAATAACTAAATAAGGGTTTTTTATTGGGAAAGGAGAGTAGGTCCTTATAAGGATGGTGCAGGGATATGTGACTAGGAGGAGTGGAGTTTGTCTGTAAAAATGAATTCAAAGTCCAGTAAAGGTTTTTGGGTTCACCTCGCACACATGTTCCAGCTTCTATGCACTAGCATGTTTTGCCTTCATAGGTTACAAACACACACACACACACACACACACACACACACACACAATTGTAAGGCATACCCAGAGGGATAACACCGTCATTCTCAGGAATGAGCATGTAAGTGGGTGCTCAATCACGAATGTTCCCTTATCTCTTATTTAGCCTTCAAAACCTAACTTTGGAATCTTGCTGTCTTCAAGGTAATTGAGACCCTCCTTAACTCCATTGCAGCTGCTTAAAAGTAAGTTAGCTGCCCACTCCAATCAAACCCTGCTTATACTCTGGTTCTGAAATCTAATCTGGGACTTAATATTATATATTTGCACCTACATCCAATACCTTGAAGAGATAGGAACAGCTCACAAGATGCCAGAATAAATGCTTGACCTTATTGCTTTAAACTTTGCTGATCCACCAGCAAAACGACACTTCTCCAATTTTTAGACAGCTCATTCTCTTCTCGATCTCTATTAATGTCATTTCTCCTCAAATACACTCTCTACATTATTGGAGAGAGTGCAGAAGGCTCTTCAGAAAGTCAGAAAGGATAAACAGTGAGTCGCTGACACTTCCTTTCAAGGGGAGGAAGTTAGCATAAACTTAACGCTGACATTAACTTTGGTCTGGAATCCCATGACATGCTGGGGGCTCAGAACACAATAAGCACAAGCTTTCTGTGAAAAGATCCATGTTTCTGGACGGAGAGCAAGAGGAAAACACATTAGAAAGACCACCCCCTGCGTCCTCCCATTTCCTCCTGGAGTCCCTCCAATGCGGTTTCCGTTCTAACCAATTATCTGAAATGGCCTTCAGAAAGGTTTCCAGCGCA